CTCGCTGTGCGAGGCACCACTGTATTGCTCCTTAAGCTTCTCATTTTCAGAGCCGGCGAACATTTCAAGGCTGTTTTCTACAATTCCGGCAAGTCTTTTAGCTCACAAACAGAAAAATTGACGCATATTCACTTAATAAAGAAGTATGTGCTTTCCAGAAATTGGAAAAATTATTTTATGGCCACTGACATGTTACCCCAGGGGGGTTTGGGAATTGTAGCCTAAAAGGTAATTTCCCCATGTTCCAGGGCATTCATATACAGGTTTACTCACAGAAACAGGTTCGTTATGCATATGCAAATCGTTTTCATCCCTGCTGTTCCTGACGGCATTCACAAAAAGGTCGTCGTAATGCGGGGCAATCGTAAAGCGAGGCACCACTGTACTTTTGAAAGAATGCACCATACCTTCTCTTCCTCGCTGAGTGGATCACCAAGCTCATCCTGGGAGAAATCCAAAAATGCCACGGATCCGTCCATGGAGCACACGAGGATGCCTAGCCCATTTAAGGTCCTGGAAGACAGCCAGACAAGGATCTTGATTAAAAACCTTACAGAGCAGAGAACAGGTAACTGGGAAACCTGGAGTCCAGTAATGTCAAGAAACTGCCCTGCCTCCAAAACACATCTAGACTCACACCCATCAGCTAGCAAAAAATGTTGAGAGATTTCCTGAAAGACACTCAAGGCAGGAGCGGGAATTACGTGGGCTGTATATAGCCCTTAAGTCTCTCTCTATGGGTTTCCTTTTCTCCCAGAAATATTTTTGTGGCAAAAGAAAAAAAATTAAACAAAAGGTAATTCACCTTCTAAAGACATTCCAGGTCTCTCCCATCACTGTTTTTACATTTTGAAACCATTCCCCCCCTCATCTGTTTTCACATTCGAAGGGAGGGAGGTTAGGGTTAATGGTAAAGGTAAAGGTTCCCCTTGACAATTTTTGCCCAGTCGTGTTCGACTCTAGGGGGCGGTGCTCATCCCCGTTTCCAAGCCATAGAGCCAGCGTTTTGTCCGAAGACACTCTTCCGTGGTCACATGGCCAGTGCGACTTAGACACGGAACGCTGTTACCTTCCCACCGAGGTGGTCCCTATTTATCTACTTGCATTTGCATGCTTTTGAACCGCTAGGTTGGTGGGAGCTGGGACAAGCGACGGGCGCTCACTCCGTCACGTGGATTCGATCTTACGACTGCTGGTCTTCTGACCCTGCAGCACAAGCTTCTGCGGTTTAGCCCACCGCGCCACCACGTCCCACAGGGTTAATGGAGCCCATAGTAAATCCAGGGGAGCCATTCAAAAGTGACAGCTAGTCATTCAGTCTAAATTACTTTGCACCAAAGAAATATGCGATTAGTCCAAGAAAGTAAGTAAATACTGAGACACACGTGCCTTCGAGAGGAAGAGGAAAATGACAAGAGAGAACCCACACTGCAGTGAGGACTGCCTTAGCAAAGGATGGTTAATGGCACAGTATTAAATTTACAGAGAAGGAATAGCTGCTTCTGAACCCAGGAGATCAACTGGCAAAGCCTCAGCTATCTCAAACGCTTCCTTCCACAAAGGATCACACGCTTAACAACCTGCCCATCACATCTGTTTTGAACCTCTTTTGAAAGGATTGAACGCCAGTGGTTTCCAAACCACGTACCAGAGATTCTTGTGGTCCCTCTCTCAATGGAAAGATCCATACATGGCAGAGAGGTTTCTCCGCAAGACAAGAGGAAGGCCTTCACGCCAATGCTGGCCAGGATTGTTTGGTGGTTTAGCTTGTCTGGAAGCAGCTCAAGCAGGGGTTCTCAACGGTTGCCCTCTCATGTTTTGGACTTCGGCTCCCAGAAACCCCAGCCAACACAGCCAAGGATAGGGGATTCTGGGAGGTCGAAGATCAAAGAAACTTTTTTTTTCATTTCATCTCCTATGTTGAAGTTTTACACTGATTTTTTTTAAAAACAGAGGTTTTGCGGCTCCTCTGCCCATCTTACGTTGCGATTTTTATTGGCCCGTTGGGTCTGTTTCCCATGCTGACTTGACAGCTGAAAGGAAACAGGATCTCAAAGCAAAGCGTACTTGTGTAAAATCAACCCACACGCTCGCCTTGCGTTTACTTCTGCCAACACACTTTTTGTCCCACTGAGAGCAGTAAGGAGAGCCACTCACCAGCCCCCTTCTTCTGCAGGATGTTTTGCAATGCTTTCAACCAGCAGGGGGAGCAACTGAGAATAATGGAACATTTTCTACTGCACTTGAGGTTCTACAGCGCCTCCATGTGGCCAGGAGGTCTTATTGCACAAGGATAGTGATATAGTATTGGGTTGTCAAATTCCTCTTTGGAGATTTCAGTAGAACAGTTGGTTGGTTGGTTGGTTGGTTGGTTGGTTGGTTGGTTGGTTGGTTGGTTGGTTGGTTGGTTGGTTGGTTGGTTGGTTGGTTGGTTGGTTGGTTGGTTGGTTGGTTGGTTGGTTGGTTGGTTGGTTGGTTGGTTGGTTGGTTGGTTGGTTGGTTGGTTGGTTGGTTGGTTGGTTGGTTGGTTGGTTGGTTGGTTGACTGATAGATATCAGTTTTTCTTGGTTCTACAAATCGAGGAATGTAGGCTTTATGTTTTAGTAAATGAAAACCTGTTTTTCTAATGCAACAGATATGCCTGTTTTTCCAGGTCAATTTCCGTTATGTCAGATAAGGTTTGTTCCTCCTTATCAACTGGGCAGGTTTGCTACTAAACTTGCTTCTGTATTTGGAGCCGAGCTTGGCAAGTAATGAAAACCCTGCCTTACACAGGGATGAGGAAAATAAAACCACCTTTCTTCCGTTTTATCACTGGAATCGTTGTCACAACCAGTATCATACTATGAAATATCACAGGCCAGGCAGGCTACTGGAAATGGGCCCTTAACTGGTACATTTTTAAAAGAAAAAAAAAAACAGTTGACTACACCATCACTGTATTATGGAATTGACAAAGGCTAGCTTGGTCTCTGTCAAAACCAACTTCATTATAATCAGAAAAAAAAACACCACCAGATTGGATGCAGGTCACCATACAGGTATTCTTGACTGCCAACCTTGGGCCCCCAGATGTTCTTGGACTGCAACTCCCAGAAGCCCCTACCACCAGCTTGGCTGGCCAAGATTTGCGGGTGTTGCAGTCCAAGAACATCTGGGGACCCAAGGTTGAGAACCACTGCTGTAGGCCACCGGAAAGGAGCTTGCAAATTGCCGGTCCTAGCTTGAGCAAAGAAACTAAGAGGTGAGCAACCTGTTACTCTCCAGATGTTGCTGAGCTGCAACTGTGCATTTGTTGTCAAGCCCCCAAAGCATTCTTTACACTCAACCATATAAAACTCATGATTCCTAGGACAGGGTTGCCTGGGTCTGCTGTTACCTTCCCGCCGAAGTGGTCCCTATTTATCTACTTGCATTTGCATGCTTTCGAACCGCTAGGTTGGCGGGAGCTGGGACAAGAGACGGGAGCTCACTCCGTCACTTCTGACCCTGCAGCACAGGCTTCTGCGGTTTAGCCTGCAGTGCCACCACGTCCCTTGCCGGTCCTAGCTTGAGCCAAGAAACTGTAAGAGGTGAGCAACTTGTTACTCTCCAGATGTTGCTGGGCTGCAACTGCGCATTTGTCTTCCAGCCCCCAAGCATTCTTTGCACTCAACCATATTTAACTCATGATTCTTAGGACAGGGTTGCCTGGGCCTTCCGTAAGTCCTTCTTTCCTTTATTATCCCCTTGGAAGGATCCTTTTCAAGTTAACTTGACTTGGAAACCACTCATAATAACTGCCCTCCCAACCTGAACTAGATCACAGAAATTAATTCCAATTTCAATGCTCCGTAACTTCACCGCCTGCTCGATTTCTTACAGGCTGGATTGCCACACACATGTAGCAGCACTGAGCATCACTGTTCAGGATCCTAGTCTCCGCCTTTCTTTCTCCTCCATGCTGTGATTTTTTCCGCCTTCCAACTGTTGGTCTCTATATCCACACAGAATAGGCTGTAGCCAGTTATTAGCAGGTTTGCTGAGGTGGACATTTCCACATTGTTTCCAAAGATTTTTGATATTCTTCAAACTATGGTGTTCTCCTCAGGTTTGCCTTCCTTTTGTAGATGGGGTGTGTGTCTCTGTGCAAGATCAGCAACATCAAAACTGGCGCATTATTTTGATTGCATGCTCATTGTGTTTCCTTAAAGACATGCGCACAACAAACCAAAGAAATACCGTACATCACATTTTTTAAAAAGTGTTAAATACACTGGAAGTCTAATATTACACAACTCCATAGCCACTGGATCACAAGCCGCTTAAAGATGGCAAAATAAGAAGGAAAAATAACATGGTAATCGGGAGGCAAAGGACATGAGCTTCCCTACAAACACACCGTTTCTCACAAGAAATGTCTTCATATTCTTCAGACTATGGTGTTCTCCTCAGGTTTGCCTTCCTTTTGTAGATGGGGTGTGTGTCTCTGTGCAAGATCAGCAACAACATTTGTCTGAACATCAAAACTGGCGCATTATTTTGATTGCATGCTCATTGTGTTTCCTTAAAGACATGCGCACAACAAACCAAAGAAATACCGTACATCACATTTTTTAAAAAGTGTTAAATACACTGGAAGTCTAATATTACACAACTCCATAGCCACTGGATCACAAGCCGCTTAAAGATGGCAAAATAAGAAGGAAAAATAACATGGTAATCGGGAGGCAAAGGACATGAGCTTCCCTACAAACACACAAGAAATGTCTTATTTCACCATCAGAGCCCTCTTACCATGAAATGTCCATGATCGACTTGTCAAACAGCTCATGGATGACCACCAGAGGCCTTTTCAGACACGTCAGCTAGGAAGAGAAATTTCAGGTTGATAAATGTTGCAAGCTGGCATCAGGCCAAAACATGCTACCTGAATGCCCAACAACGGAAAACCCAGAAGTCAGCGGGTACACGGATGTTTCAGGCTCTGCTAAAGCTACATCATGTTGCACCACAGGGTAAATCCGGCTGAAGTGCAGAAGAGTTCTTTCCTTGATGACTGATGTGTTCCCAATACTTCAAGCAAACACTCTTATAATGAGAACAGTCCACCAATAAAGCTTAGGAGTTTCCATAAAGCTTGCAGATTGATACATCCATGAGCCTAGGTATTTGTAGACAGAAGGAAAACCTGAATTCTCAGGTTTCCATTCTTGTCCTATTTCAGTCCCTCTCCCCCTTTTATGAGAATGGGTTGCATCAAATCTCAAGTGGTCACATGCGCATACACACCTTTACATAAAATGGGTCAAGAGCAAAAGGTTGCAACTTGGGTTTTAAGTTTTAAAAGCAACAGTTCCTGTGCCATCTACATTCAGGAAGCCATGGCTTATTCACCTGAGGTTAGTTCCAGCAAACCAGGATCTGAAACCATCCATAATCCGTAAGTCCATGGTGTGCTGCAGTTTGCTAAACTATCGTGTAGCATCTCAAATGGGCCGAAGGGATCCCACCAAGAGGTGACTGCGGATTCACAGTAAGCTCGGTGCTTGAGGTCTAGAAGCCCGCTTCGGCCCTAGCTGTATCACATGACCCAGAACAGAACACAAGACATACCCAGACAGAAAGGGACCGGTCTTTACTTCCGACTGCACAGCAGCAATAAGGGCAAGTGGGCTTTGTAGAGCTACCATTCTTCTGTTTCTTTTTGAAGATTTTTGGATTGAATTTCTGAAAAAAAGAAAAGAAAAAAAAAAGACCAAAGGGTCCACTTAAAATTCAACCATTTAAGATGTTTAAGTTGGAAACAACACTGTAGTTTGATTGTCATGGCAGCTGTATACAGTGGTGCCTCGCTTAACGAGTGCCTCGCTCAACGATGAATTGGCATAACAATGGCCTTTGCTGGAAATTTTGCCGCCTCACCTAACGATGTTTCCTATGGGGGATTTTCACATAACGATGTTTGGGACCTTGCTTCACTTAACGATGACAGTTTTAGGTCCCCTGTTTCGTTTAACTTTTCTTTTGACAGCCCTGTTTTCGCTATTTTAAAAATATTCTAAAATGTTTAAAAAATGTTTAAAATGCTTGGAATCGTTAGTGCACCTAATAAAACCTTCATTAAAGTAATTTGGCTTTGTTCTGAGTCTTTTTTGAATTTTTGGTGATTTTTTTCACCATTGAAATGTATTGAATAGGCTCCTATGGGAACGGATTAACTGATTTTCAATGCATTCCTATGGGAAATGGTGTTACGCTTAACGATGTTTTCACATAACGATGTTTTTAATGGAACGAATTAACATCGTTATGCGAGGCACCACTGTATTAATGTGCAATTGTGGAATAGCGGATGGTGGTCAGTCCCACTTGCACACCATGATGCTGGCTTGCAGGAGATGCTGGGCTGATGAAGGAGATTCCAGCAGAGGGGAAGGTCTGGCTGGTTCTATCAAGCTGCAAGAAGGTCAAGTACAGCGGCCAACTGCAGTGTCCCCCCCCCATTTGAGGACCTGCCTACAGGCAGACCCATCACCAGGTTGCCTGTCAAGAGACAAATTTGCCGCAGTAATTACGGAGATGTAGAACCTAACGGAAGAAGAACTTAATACGCTTTGAACAGCAGAGCTGGAAGGGACCCCTAGGGATCATCAAGTCCAGCCCCATGTGAAGGAGGCACACAGTGGGGGAATCAAACTCCCAACCTCTGGCTCCACAGCCAGAGACATAAACCACTGAGCTATCCAGCTGTTGCTTAAAAAGCCTCTTCTGTAGATTTGTGAGATGATTAAAATGGAATACAAAAATCCCCCTTGGTTCTAATACCCTTCTTTTCTCCGCCTTGGAGCAGTTCATCTTATGCAATGGACTATATTTGAATGGACTCTAGTCTTGCTAGAAAACCTTGATCTCCTGACAGGACAGCGTCAGCCTGCTCATCTCCACTCTGTCTCAAGCAATGCTAATTACATGGAAGAGGAAAAACAGATCTATCCAAACAAGACTTTTTTTAAAGAGGCTAGTAGGTGTCCCTGGTTTGCTCCCACTCCTCCCTTCAAGCTATTCTGCCTGTATCCGGGAAGGATACTTACCACCACCGTCACTGCTTTACGATGGCCGACAAAATCCATATTTGTCTTCCACCCGTCCCTCTCAATGATCTGTGCTGTCGGCCCAGAATTGTTCATGGCGTGAGCAGAGACCAGATAGTGACCATCGGGCGACCAGCTCAGACGTAAAACATGCGTTGTTCCTCCACACTAGAAGTTAAAACACAGCCATAAATGCACATGGTATCAAACAAGGTTTTGCCCTCCCAGAGTTTACAAACAAGGACGCAGGAATGATAAAAGCCCAGAAGATCCATTTTCAAAGCTTCACGTACAAGCATGGTGTCATCTGATGTTTCACTCACATGTCCCCAAGTCATTCAAAAGAATGGGCTCCAAAGCATTTCCTCACAGGTATTTTTCAGTACAGCTTTTAAAACAATTTATTTGGTGCTTTTTACATCATGCGAAAGGCAGGACTGGAGGAATCCCAAGCCGGAATTAAGATTGCCAGAAAAAATATCAACAACCTCCAATAAGCAGATGATACCACTCTGATGGCAGAAAGTGAGGAGGAATTAAAAAAACCTCTCAATGAAGGTGAAAGAGGAGAGTGCAAAAAACGGTCTGAAGCTGAACATCAAAACAACAACAACAACAACAACAACCAAGATCATAGCCACTGGTCCCATCACCTTCTGGCAAATAGAAGGGGAAGATATGGAGGCAGTGACAAATTTTACTTTCTTGGGCTCCATGATCACTGTCGATGGTGATAGCAGCCCCGAAATTAAAAGACGCCTGCTTCTTGGGAGGAAAGTGATGACAAACCTAGACAACATCTTAAAAAGCAGAGACATCACCTTGCCGACAAAGGTCCGCATAGTCAAAGCTATGGTTTTTCCTGTAGTGATGTATGGAAGTGAGAGCTGGATCATAAAGAAGGCTGACCGCTGAAGAATTGATGCTTTTGAATTGTGGTGCTGGAGGAGGCTCTTGAGAGTCCCCTGGACTGCAAGGAGAACAAACCTATCCATTCTAAAGAAAATCAAGCCTGAGCGCTCCCTGGAAGGACAGATCCGGAAGCTGAGGCTCCAATACTTTGGCCATCTCATGAGGAAACTCCCTGGAAAAGACGCTGATGCTGGGAAAGTGTGAAGGCAAGAGGAGGAGGGGACGACGGAGGACGAGATGGTTGGACAGGGTCATCGAAGGAACCAACATGAATGTGAATAAACTCTGGGAGGCAGTGGAAGACAGGAGGGCCTGGTGTGCCCTGGTCCATGGGGTCACGAAGAGTCAGACTTAACGACTAAACAACAACAACAATTTGGCAGTAGCCCAGGGAGGGGTGAGACAGCCAGTCCCTTTCCTTCAGTGCTGGTGAGATCTACAGGTACCTCATTCCTTTTGTTCCAAAACTGTTTCCTGCCACTGATGGCACAGCAGCTGTCCCTTCTGAAAGGCACTCATCATGACCTCACAGCCATGTTCTGAACAGTGCCCCCCCCGAGTATAAGCAGCGATGTTGACTCACATTAAAAAACCACACAGACCTAACAGCAGAGCAGGGCTTTTGTAAAGCTAAGGGGTTTTAATTGTTCATTCAAGATCAAACATTTCCCATTGCGCTACAGCTCCAACAGCTTGTAACAATACACACTGCTGTTGTTCGAGGGATCCATTCTACCCTAACACACGGGAATCTGAGGGGAGGTTGTGGATGATGTCACTGTCTCTGCTAAGCAGAAAGACCTGGCATTGTGCCTTGTTGCTCTGAATGTTGGACTCAGTGGCCTTTTTAGGCTCCTTCCAACTCAATTATTCTAGGATTCTGTTTTTCGTGTTGATTTTGTTTAATTGACTGATATGTTTATTTGATCTTCTATATTGTTATTTTTATGTGGTTATTATTTAATGTGTTACTGTCGTCTATTTTGTTGAGACCCGTCCAGAGTGGCCTTGGCAACCAGATAGGTGGTATAAAAATCAATCATTCAAATAAACAAACAAACAAAATAATACCATTTTAGTGATGTATTTGCTTGGTTCTTTTTAAATATTTGTATACTTACTGCTTTTAGTTTTTTAATATTGCCTTTTAATGATGCAATGGGTCCTTTTTAACAAGAAAAGCAGGGTAAAATTATTAATAATACATAAATAATGTAGTTTCATTACAGTAGAACACAAAAACATATTTGTCTTGAACTTCCTTATTTTCCTCCCAACTTATTCTTCCTTTCATATTGTGTCTCTTCGCAATTATGTTAAGCCATAAAGAATGCTCTAACAGTGTGTGTATGCGCACACTTGCAAAAGATGAATAAAAATAAAGATAGGCTGAATGTCAAACAAGGCAGCACAGCCTCTTCATTTCAGAAGAGCAAGAATCATTTTCTCTTCTTAAATATGAGGGAAGGGTCCTAAATATTTTAACATGCTCGTACTGTCCGTTCATGATACGACAAAAGAAAATCCTTCAAGTTTTTTGTCAGAGATATTGATATCACCAAATCACATAATACACAGAATGTAGACTGAAAAATTAAAAAAAGAATAATCCACAGTCACTCAATAAAGGAATCTGCATTCACGGTGCAGCTAGGACAAAATTAGAGAGCTGGAAGGGACTATGTATAGGAATTCCAATAAAGTATTCAATTCATAACCAGATACTTACCAAGATGATCATGAAATGTATGAAAGGGGGGGAATGATATGGCCTTTCATCTCTAGGTGAAAATTATACTACACCAGTGAACATTAGATGAACATTCAAGAGAGTCCACCGTACATCGGTAACATCTTTAGTGGCCGTGAACTCCAAAGAATCCATTAAGAAGCACTCCTAAGCGCAAAATGTTAAACCTAGCAAGCATAAATGCTCTATGAGCTATAGATTCATGACGGTGGTTAAACAGGACACCAGCATTTGCAATAGAGAAGGAGATTCTGTTTCCTGGAAGCTGCAGACCAAAAATTAAAAATAAAAACCCCCAAACACGACACGTACCTCATCAAATGGTTTGGTAATGCTGGTTTCTAGCTGCCAGTCCATGGTGCGCCACACCTTCAAGCTTCGGTCATCTGCTTGGGACGCAATGTATTTCCCAACGGGGTCCCACGTGAGCCCCTTAACCAAGCCAGAGTGACCCTTCAGGGTGGCAAGAATTTCTGAACATAAGGAAGGAACAAAAAACTTTCTGATAAATTTTTTACATTTTCCTGGAAACGATTAAATCAGAGAAAAAGTTGAGGGAGAGATTTTAAAAGGCATGACATGGGGTGGAACAGAACACGCGGCCCTTGGGGGTTGATTGACCACAACTCTGAGCATCCTGGAGAGAGGCAGCCGTAAGCCTGTCAAGGCACACATCAACTGCCTTCTGCGTATCCTGGTTGCAGAGCTGGCACTAGGGCCCTTTGGCCTTCCAGATGTTTTGGACTATAATTCCAACAAACTCCTTCCAATTGGCCATGGTGACCATGGTAGCTAGGATTTCACCTACTTTGGACTCCTTCAAGCTATGGAAGACCTATTACAAAACAAAGCTGCTATGGAAGAGAAGATGGACAGTGTAGTGGACAGAGTATTAGGCTTGGAAGAGTGAGATTTAAGTCCCCAGTGTGCTATAAACCTCACACAGTGACCATGGATTAGTCACACACTTTCTTTCTCTTAGCCTGACCTACCTCACAAGGCTGTCGGGTGAAGCAAAGAGAGAGGGAAAAACTCATGTACACCTCCTTGAGCTCACTGTTGGAACTGCACCACATGAATTTCTAACATTTAGGTACTGCAGTTCAAACAGTAAATACAGTGGACCCTCGACTTATGGAATTAATCCGTATTGGAATGGTGGCTGCAGGTCGAAAAGTCTGTAGGTTGAGTCTCCATTGACCTACAATGCATTGAAAACCGATTAATCCCATAACTGGCCGTTTTTGTTCCATTTTAGGGTTTTTTTTTCTGGTCTGAAGGTGGATTCTCCGGCTGCAAGTCGAACCTAAATTTTGCAGCCAGAGAAGTCTGTAACTCGGAAAGTCTGTAAGTGGAGCCGTCTGTAAGTCGTCCCACTGTAATAGAGGGACACCGACCTACAGCCATATGGAATTGTTTCTGGACTACAATGCCCAGGATTCTGCAGGCATTGGCCATGTTACCTAGGGAATTCTGGGAACTGTAGTTCAAAAACACAAATCTGCACGGCTATAAACATTACCCTTTCTAAGGGACATCAGCACAAATCTTGGAGCTCATTTGCAAACATCCACAATGCGAACCACAACAATTAATTATGTGTTGACAAGTTGATTATGGCAACTCTCACAGGGATCTCCAGGTGTAAAGTATTCAGAAGTGGTGGATCAATCCCTCTCTGTGGAGGCACTCTTGAGATTTGTTCCAATGCCACACAGGTAGTCAGGCACACAACCTCATCTGCCACGCAGGGTCTGGTTGCTTCTGACTGACATCTTTCTTGGATGGTGTAGAGGGGATTCAAACTCCCAGCCACTAGATCTGTAGCCGGGGACTCCGATGCCCAGGGCTCTACCAGCTCGGCCATATGCTCGAGGTTTCACGGGTCTGCCGGGCCAAGCATGAAACAGGCCAATCACTCCTTGTCATTCAAAATTCGATACACAAGGATGTCCTACCTGGGAATTTGACAGCATTCCAGATGACAACGGTGTTGTCCACGCTACAGGAGGCCAACCAAGCGTCATGAGGAGACCAAGCCACGTCCATGACATCTATATGGAAACCAACCAAAGAAGCAACAGTGAAAGACGTCACTCAGTGAGAACAGAAATCATGTTCCACCCAACCAGTTTAACCGTCCGGTGAGTACCAAGAAAAATGTGCAATACGACCAAAGGAACCAAGGCTCTTGTGTGCCTTTCAACCTACGTGGACTTCACACAAATCCTTAAAGACTAAATAGGAAGGTTCTTTTTTTTAGAAAAGTACTCCTGGAGTCGCAAAGTCAGTATCCTTGTAGCTGCTTGCAGGAAGCTCAGCAGAGATGGAGCCCGGCTGTCTTCCGATGGGACAGAACTCCACAATCAAGGGGCTGCCATGGACAAAGTCCCACCAACCTGGCCACCCAAGGACTTCAGATACCGAGCAGGTCATTGCTAATATAAAGGAGACACAATGTGGCGCATGGAGGGGCCGCAGATCAGTTGGCAGAGTTGAGGATCAGCCTCCATAAGGTGGCAGGTTTCTTCGACCGGCAAATCAAGAATTTGGCCCGAAGCCCTGGAAAGCTGCTGCTAGTTCAGTGTTCATAGTATCGGGTTACACAGTCCGAGGATTTGGCTCCATCTAAGGCAGCTCCCTACATCCCGTGCATCAGCCATTCTCAAGAGGGGCTATAGGGCTCCCTCAGGGGGCCCTGACCCATTGGAACAGGGCTACAGGCTGGGGAAATAATTCTTCACACACCACTTTATAGGGTTCATTAGGCAGCTTATCTGATCGTGATTCAGACTGCTTTTTTCTTTCATATTGTGTTTAGGGCCATGGCCGCCCCAAAAAAAGGCTGAAAAGAGCTGATCCACCTGGCCAAATCGGGAGGCTTCACTCTTGACGGCCGTTGCCATTTATCTACCTTGCTGGGAGTCTCTCAATAGCTCTGCAGATGAAAACCCAACAATAAACAATGCTGACCGTTCCAAACATCGCCAGCCTCCGCAAGACAGACAGACTGGACACACTCACCTCCCGAATGGCTTCGAAGAATCGAGACACATCGCCACTGTTCTACGTTAGCAAGTTTACTACTGGAACCAAACACTGTGCTAGGCCCAATGTACCTGTTGGAGAGAACACTCATGTTGCAGGATTGAATGATAGACCAACGCAGCAGGCGACACCCATTTTAGCTAACAACTCCAGTTCCCTTGCAAATTTGGGGTGTGGGTGGGTGGAGTGGGGAGTGAAGGTGGGGAAAGGATCCGAGGTATCATTGATAGAAGGCATGCTCTTGAGTAGTCAACCCGTCTCTCTTGAACTCTATGACATATTTCAGTAGGCAGGCTATTAAGGAGTAAAGCCTTCCAGGAACGCATCGTTTAGTGGTTTACAGATTTTAAATTCTTTTAAGGGGCTTTAAATCTTGGTTTCAACCTTGATGTATGTTGAACCGTTTTTAACATATTTATAGAGAGGATGCTTTTTTAAAACTAATGATTATTTTACCATTTTAGTTGTTAGGAGCTGCCTTGGGTCCCCTATGGAGTGCAAGGTGACATATGAATGAATGAATGAATGAATGAATGAATGAATGAATGAATGAATGAATGAATGAATGTAAATACACAACACAAATCTAGAGAAAAATGAAAGCAAGCAGGTGAAAAGCAGCCTGGGGTACAAGCTAAGATCTAAGTAAGAAAGAAGCCAAAACACTTACGCAGCTCTCTTCCAAATCATGATCAGCTTGTCATCTCCCCCAGAAGCCAGATATATGCCATTGTTTGACCACCGCACACAGTTTACACATGCTAGAATTAAATAGGGGTGGGGGAGGAGGGGAAGAGATAAGGACAATTTTAGAACAGATCTGCTGAAAATGTTACTTTGGGAGGATAACCAAAAAAACACACTTTTTCTAAAAAAAAAGAAAGAACGCGGGATTTAAAATTTAAACTTCAGAACAGATAACATAACTGAAACTACATCAATAATAGGTGATGCCCAATCAGTTAAAACTCTTTCAGTGGAAATCCATCTTAAACACCAAAGGTTTATCCAAAATAAGTGGGGGGGGGGGAAGAAACCAAATAAAAATTACCGTATTTTTTGCTCCATAAGACGCACCTCTCAATAAGACGCACCAAATTTTTAGGAGAAGAAAACAGGAAAAAATATTCTGTTTTCTTCGCTCCATAAGACGCACAGACTTTCCACCCCCCCTGTTTTGTGGGGGGGAAAGTGAGTCTTATAGTGCGAAAAATACGGTACTGAAGACATTCTAGAATACAAGCTGTTTTTTCTCCTCAAGTTTTGTATTCTCTGTATGACTTCACACTGTTTATAATCTTCTAAATGGCTTTGGATAGCTGTACAGACCTGCTAATCTTTCTGCAGTGTTTACACAGCTGACCCCTAGCTATAGAAATAGATTATAGGTCTGCCTTGAGATGGCACAGAATATGAAAAGTGCCTCAGCTATTGGGTGGAAAGCACTTAAGGACTGACCAGCTGTGCCTGCTCCAGATAGTATTTTGGATCCTGGGCTCCCCTAGAAAAGATATCACATCTTTTGCATCTGTGTATTGAGCCCTGGATGGTGGACAGACCAAAGTCAAGGGCCGCTGAGCTTGATCTCAAAATCTGAGCCGCTTTGTAAGCAGAGAGGGGGTAAGGAAGAAATACTGTACAAAATATTTAGATCTTTCGGTCACCTCTAAAATGCACAGGCCAGTAAACACAGTTAAATGCAAAAAATTTGGCGAGATAATGACCTTTTTTTTTCAAAAACAGATGATTAAATTGACAAGGACTACCATCTGGAGTTATAGTCGCTACACCTCTGGACACAAGAAAAGCATTGATGAAAGATGGAAGGAGCAAGAGGGGAAATAGGTAAGCAAAAGATCCAACTCTTAAGGCCTGTTGTGTACCTGTAGTAGCTAAAAAAAACCCTAGTGATTCTGCTGGAACTCATACAAAACGGAGTGAACAGCACTCCTAGCAGAAAAAGGCTCTCAGGAGGCATCCAGGAACTATTCTGCTGGGAAACAAAGCACATGTACGTCCAACAGATTCATTGGGTTTCCTCAATGGAAGTATTGACAGTGACAGGTTTTTCGCCAGAAGAGGAATGAGATATCCACCAAATTGTGGCAAGGTGGGAGGAAGAAAGGCGCTCCCTCAAACCTGGAGAGTGGTTCATCCCTGATCCAATGTGAAAGGATGTTTTGGAATTGCATTAGGACTAATTCTTACGGCATGAAAGGGTCCAGAATATGGTCAAGGCCCATGGCGCTATACGCTGGTCCCGACACTGTGCTGACAACGAACCCTCAAAGGAAAAGATCATCCCACTGTACCTAAATGATTGTCCATCTGACAAAGCATCTTGGGCACATTCTCATTCTTTTCATCATCCTCTTTGAGAACAGGAGCCATGTTCCATATCACCACCTTCCCAGAATCCTCTCCTAAAGACACAGAGAAGTCAGTATTTTACCTAGAAGAAAACATTTGCATTTCCATAATAATAATGTGCCATCAAGTCGATTCTGACTTACGACAACCCTTTTCATGGTTTTCCAGGTACAGAATACTCAGAGGTAGTTCGTAATTCCTTTCTTCTAGATACGTCCTGGGGCTCTGCAGCTGGCCCAAGGCTACACAAGCTGGCTCTATTCGCAGGAGGCACAGTGGGGGAATCAAACTCCCAACCTCTGGCTCTGCAGCCAGATTATTACCTGGGTCCCCAACCTTGGGCCTCCAGATGTTCTTGGACTTCAGCTCCCAGAAATCCTGGCCAGCAGAGGTGTTGGTGAAGGCTTCTGGGAGTTGTAGTCCAGGAACATCTGGAGGGCCAAGGCTGGGGACCACCAACCTAGACCACTGAGCTATCCAGCTGGCTGTATTTCCACAGAAAATCTTAAATCTTTGATGATTATCAAATGATAAAGAGCAACGATGGATCAGCTTGCTAGTCTCCAAATAAAAAGCAATGTCCCTCCAAGTGGGCGTTATCCAAACATATGCATTCTTGGCCTTAGCAAATACTGAGACATAAATCCATCCATGTAGGAACAAGGATTGCAAACTACAAATCAAAGCTGCACATCCATAAGACCTGCTAAAGGCCAACAGAACTGGGGACTACGTGGCCACAGCCTGGATGCCAGATGAAAGCAAACGTAGAAAACAGAATCTTATGGGGACAAATAACTAAAGCAATAATATCTGTAACCATACCTTGACCTCCAGTTGCAAACTTGGTCCCATCAGGATGAATGTCAACTGAAAATATTGGCTTGCCTGGAAAAAACAAAAATAAAACAGGAACAGGATACCGTAATGCTCTTTCCACAGTGTATCATTTTATAGATGGCCAGAATTCACTTTCTTTTGTTTCTTACGAAGTGAACAAAATCCATTTCATTCTGCTTAATAAAATATGTGTAGCTTCTAGTTTAATTTTCCCCCCAACTTCTCAGATGGCAAAAACTAAGGTATGTGTGCTTAAATAACACAGAGTACAGACATTTGGAGGTTTCCCTTTAATAGAAAGTATATTTACTAATTTATTTATGCAAAACTCAGGTTTTTCTTGCTTGTAAATATAATGAATCTGTCATTAATACAATAAATAGTACAAACAACACAATTTTATATGTGAACTAAGTTATGAACGAAAACATTTAATGCTGCTAAGCATCAGAATAAGTTTCTCCACCAGGAAAAAAAAACAACGGTAGTTTTATCCATAGTTTCAAAATTTCCTGAAAATTTACACCTTTACACTGGATCAATCAAATGAACTGTATAAAGAAGTCTGGAATATAGCTATTAATTAATTAAATTATACCCCGCCTATCTGGTCGTTGCGAGAAGTTAACATGTAATGTAATATTGAACTTAAGGGTGAGATAAATAATTATTTTTATAGATATTTGGTGAGAATTCATCAATTATGCGTTAATAAAGGGAAAGACTGGGTACCTTTGCAAGAGTTAACACAGTTTTGGAAGGAAAAGGGGGCTCCATGAACAGAGGAAAAACTGGTTATCTCTCCAAATTATCCCAGTGGGGGAGGGGAGCACATTATGTATTATTATATTGTTTCTGTGGTTTTGTGTTATTAAGGATTTTTTTCCCCATCATGTTTCTCTTTGTTGTTTGCATTTTTATTTAAAGAAAGTTAGAAAAATACAATGGATCAAAGCAAGTGCATGACACCCTCGGTGCATTTAGCAATCAACTCTGCTGGCCACAACCCTGCAATTAGGATTCTCGTGAACAAGTTGCTTAGTTATAGCAATTTCCTCTAATGACCGCTTGCCTTGGTTTGGAATGTTTGTGTAGCAGGGGTCAAAACGCTCCCTAAAAAGGCAAAGGGACACAGATTCCAGCCTCAGAGGCATAAAGGCTACCCAAGGACCAAGCGCAGAGAAACTCTGCGCCCCAGGAACTGACCTTTACCTCTTTCCAGTCTTCCCTGGAGCCAAGATCACCTGCTTCAAGGTACGCATTCCAAAATATTGGGACTTTCTTTACATCACTGTAATGATTACGAAATCTGCACCCTTTGGAAGATGCACACCAGGGTTCAAATTGCAGGACGCTGGAAAGATCCCAACGGTTGCAAAAAAAGAAGAAGAGAGACTGGGGATTTGTGCATGTGCTGAAGCATAAATGCACTTCCTTGAAACATGATTTCATTCCTTTGCCTACGTCAGTGGTTCCCAACCTTGGGAAACCCAGGTGTTGCTGGACTACAAGTCCCAGAAATCCTAGCCAGCATAGCTAGTGGCAAAGGCTTCTGGGAGTCGCAGTCCAAGAACCCCTGGGATAGTATGGGAGCCACTGGCCTAAGTCAATGGTAACGAATAGGTGGCCTTCCAGAGGCTGCTGGTTGCCAATTCCCATTAGGTCCAGACAGCTGGACCAGTGATTGTGGAGGTTTCCCAACACTTACTAAAGAATAGCTTGCAGCACCTCTGCCTCCACACAAAAATTCTGTTAGTTGTGACATAATTTCCTCGTTTAGAACAGTATTATCTAAGCACGTTGGTTTAAGCTCGACAAAGTGTTGTTACTGTCGGTTGCTCATTTAAAGTCGGCCTTTTTATGTATGCCATGGATGGCACTGACTCCCAGTGGGGGTGGGTAGTGGACAGAGTGGCAGACGAAGACTCTGGAGAACTGGGTTCGAATCCCTGCTCGGCCATTGAAACTCAGTGGGGGAATGGGGACTGACAAAACCGCTCCTTAAATGTCTCACTAACCTTGAAAGACCTGTTAGGGTCTCTATAAGATTCTGACTTGGCGGCACAAAACACACATACGCTGGCAGCACAGGTGCTTGTTTTAACAACACTAAGGAAAAAGGTAAAGCAAGCAAACAAGAAAGGAAATACCTAGGCTCAGATTGCTGCTATACAGTGGTACCTCGCTAAACGACGACCCCGCTAAACGACAAATCCACACAACGATGACTTTTTGCGATCGCTACAGCGATTCGCAAAACAGTCATTCCAATGGGGGATTTTCGCTGGATGTCGATTAGGTCCATGCTTCGTGAACCATTTGTTCGCAAGACGATTTTCTTGGCTTCGCAAAATGGCTGCCCTGTGTTTTCCAGACCCATGCTTCGCTGGGCAGCCATTTTTACAGCTGATCGGCACTCACAAAATGGCTTCCCTAAGGGCACTCTTCGCTGGACGACAAGGTATTTTCCCCACTGGAACGCATTAAGGTAAAGGTAAAGGTTCCCCTTGACAATTTTTTTGTCCAGTCGTGTTCGACTCTAGGGGGCGGTGCTCATCCCCGTTTTCAAGCCGGAAAGCATTAAGCCAGGTTTCAATGCATTCCAATGGGGAAAGGGTTTTCGCATGACGACGATTTCGCTAGTGATTTTCACAGGACGGATTATCGTCGTCATGCGGGGCACCACTGTATTACTGCAGCACACCTTGGCATTTGGCTGAGATAACAGAGGTGTGCAGATCTGTGTTTCTGAACTACATCTCCCAGAATTCTCCACAAATTTGTAATCCAAGGGGGTAGTTCCCAACTTTGGGTAACCGGAGTGTTTTTGGGCTGTAACTGCCAGAGAAGCCCCAGGCAGCAGAGCTAGTTGGTGAAGGCTTCCGGGAGTTGTAGTCCAAGAACACCTGGGTGACCCAAGGTTGAGAACCACGGGTCCAAAGTCACAAATCTGCAGACAGTGTTGGACAGGCTATCCTTGATTAGTAAATAGTCCTGTTAAGTACCAGGTAAGCTAGCAGAGATCCTTTTTCAAATATATTAACAAGCAAGCAAGCAAGTGAACGAACGAACGAATGATATGATGATCATGTAGTTACAAGAGCTAGCTGGAAAACTGTCCAAAGCTGCAAAGTGCTCAGTGGGGAAACTGAGCAGGGCTGAGGATTTCCTGCTGCTATCTCTGCTCAGGAATAATCTCTGTTCACACTCCTTGTGATCCTTCTTAACTTCAACACTTCAAAGGTTAAACCCCAGCAGCTTAAACTGAATCCAGAAACAAAGCAACACATGGCGGACCTGGTAGAAGATTAGTGCCATATAAATTGATTAACCATCAGCTCCAACGTGTACCCAGGCAGCTGTAAGTCACATCTAGTGAAACTTCCAGACTTGTTTTTTTCAAGGGCTGCCCCATGTAAACTGAATTACAGCAGTCTAAACTGCAACTGGCAAGCATGCAAATGACTGAGGACTTTTACAGAGGAAGAGGAAAGACCCATGATTGGAAGACTGCAATGGATTCATAGGCCTCTGTGCTCCCTAAAACATCTCTCCCTCTCTTACGTTTTCGCCATCTCTGAGAGAGGGAAAAAATTAAAGCAGAAACCACAAATATTGTGGTAAAATGAAATAAAAAGTGTGATTCGGTCAGAAATGGTCTTGTTCCAACGAACAGAATCCCAATGAAGGTTGAACCGAGGTCGCCAGCCACAGCTGTCAACAAAGACATTACCCACCTTGAATATACCCAACTTTGTTGGGTTTCAGAAGTTAAGTAGAGTCATGTCTGGTGAGAACTTGGATGGGAGTCCACTGAAGAAGACCAGAACTCCCCAAGTAGGGGTAGGGGGAAAAATCTTGTCTATATCTCTGGTAAACTGTGACCCACCAGTTGACAATACTGGGCTAAATGGAATAAGGGCCAGATTCAATATAAGGCGGTCTCCATCTCTGCTCCTCTCATGGAGACGGCAGTACCCACTAAATGCAGAAATGAGTTGTTATGCGTCTACAGGCTCTTGCATACTATTCAGCTGGTGGCATTTTGAGGAGAATTAGACATGGGCGTGGTGGCACTGCGGCTTAACGCAGAAGCCTCTGGGCTGCAAGGTCAGAAGCCCAGCCGTCGTAAGATCGAATCCACGCGATGGAGGGAGCTCCCATCACTTTGTACCAGCTCCTGCCAACCTAGCAGTTCAAAAGCTTGTAAAAATGTGAGTAGATAAATAGGTACCACCTCAGTGGGAAGGTCACGGTGTTCCGTGTATAGTCGCGCTGGCCACGTGATCACGGAAGATTGTCTTCGGACAAACGCTGGCTTTATGTCTTGGAAATTGGGATGAGCACCTCGCCCTAGAGTTGGACACGACTGGACTAAATGTCACGGGGAACCTTTACCAAGATATGGGCACTTCAGATTCATTTCCCTGGAGAAATGGAAGATGAATCCCATCCCCCAGAATTGGCCAGTTCATTTACCGGGCTCTGCATAGCGCTCAGCTCCATCATGACCGTCATTACACCAATTTGGGAAGGAGAGCGGCCAACCTTTCCCTACCTGCCCGCACAGCCAAACACCTTGGTGCAGAGATGGGAAGCAGGGAACCGATCATCGCAAAGCGAAATTCCCCCATAGGAAGCATCGTTTTGCGATCGCAAAACCTTCAACGTAAAGCGATTTTGTCGCAAAACGGAGTGCTCGTAACGCGAGGCACCACTTTACCGCCTTACATCAGAAAGCAATCCACTCAATCCAAAAGGAACAATGTTTTAACAGAGGTGCTTTCATCCCTTCTCACAAATTCCAATTTTCTCCAATAAAAAAAAAAAGAAAAACTGTCTGGGGAGGGAAGGTGAAAAAAAAACCCAAACTAAGTTTTTCCCCTGGATTTGTTCACATTTTATTTCCTGTCCCTTCTAGCCACCATCACTAACCACATTTGTCTATGAGGACCACTGTGTTGCACCGCATGGCTATTGGCAGCCCAACACTATTTTTGCCTGCCTGCTACCTCTTTGGCTTCTCTCCTGTTCTCTCTGGCACAGCT